CGTCTAGGTTGACGTATGATTTGAGCAAATCACGCTAAACCTCAGCAATTTATGAATAATAACTAAGTCAATCTAAGTCGTTTAAAGTGATTTAATGGCCGAGAAATGAAGTGGACCTCATCAGCAGTGGACTTCTCGTCAGCAGCCCAAATGGCAATGGTTGCGGGTCGTGAATATCGTGGCGACTTTACTGCTCCCTTGGGCATGCGGCGGGCCACAGGACAGATTCGACTTCGAAAGCGAGGATGGATTATCCATGAATCAAACATATTTGTCATTGAAATTGACGATATTACTTATTTCCCGAATGAGTAGGTCTCGAGATGATGGGTACTTTTTGAATAAAAGCATGGCCAGCCCAGGCCATTTAAGGCGATTGAAAGACAGATGAGTTAAGTGCAATTAAATGGCTTTAGGAGGCCTATTTGTTCGACTGTGGAAATTAATTTTTAGCTTATTTTCTTGGGCTGAAACATCAAAACATACCATTTAAGAGCAACATTTATTCGCCGGGGAAATCGAGAGAAATCTCATATTCCTCAAGGTGTACATATGACGCTACAATGATACAGAATTTACATTCAGAAATTCTTCGGATTACGAATACATTTTGCGATATTATGAACTCGAATATTTCAATTATCAGCGAGCTTGTGGATTGGCTACACAAGTAGTATCTGTGCGCAAGAGGAGAGAGCAGACAACTTGAGGCCGAGAGTGGGAAATCTGCGTGTGAAGTGCATCCAGTACTAGCCGGAAGGGTATGGCTCGTGGTACTTGGAGGAGTTGAGGCAAATGGGTCGTGACGTTCAATAAAAGCGCGAAGATACAACTCAAAAACTGTATCATCTCGTGGAATTTGTGGTCGCAGTAGTCTTGTCTTTGAGATGGGCTTTTGGCAACACTTCCTTCTCGGGTTCGTGGATATTTGGAACGTGCTGGGAGAGAGACTTCTTCTTCAATACTGGAATGGATACGTGTCTGGTGGGGCTGTGAAGAGTGGGTTGGGTGCGAGAGGGCGTCGACACTCAGAAGGTACTGAAGGAAGCCCGCAAAATGAGGTCAACTGAGCAGCATTTCGAGTGAAGCTGGACAAGCCAGGATGAAATTGGGGAGAATTGGCGAGACGGTAAGAGGGGATCAGATTTGTTGTGCTTTTCAGTTGGTACGACATAATTTACACTTCAAACCCACCCAAGGCCTAAACAGGATTTTGAAGACCAGCAGACAAGTGGTCCAATCTCGTTTCCGTAAGTTGGTCTGGTTGCCAAGGCGACCTAGTTGGATGCTGCTTGTCCGAAGTCTTCTGCTGTGGTAGTTGTGATAGGTCGCGGCGTCGGAGAGCAGACTTGGTACATTTCCGGACGCCAGTGAGTCTTGCCATACTCAGCACCAGTCTCGGCTACAACTTGTCAAAGCGACAAGTTTCGTCAATGCCTCAAACAACTTTCGGCAGAACGGTTGTGCTATCGCTTCTCCTTCTGTCCTGGTACATCTGCCTAGCCCCTACCCTCTTGTCTCACTCCCACCATATCGCAACTTGTGACTTGTTTATATTCGACCATTCAAGAGGTGGGCCTTTTAGACGCGAGAGTCTCTAACCCGATTAATCAAGCTTACAATAAGTACTGTCTATTTCGCGTTCAACGGCCACTTCTATGAGCAACTATTTGGTCTGCCAGCACCTTATTAACTAATTACGGTTACTATTTAAGACTACTTATATAAAAATAAGTAACGTAGTTAATTTCAATGATAACTACTAACAAGAATGATTATTAAAATTAAGAGTACTGAGGTCAGGGATGATTTAGTTAGGGCAGAAATTAGATGGAGTATGAAATAAAAATTTGAATAAAAAATCAAGCTGGATGATAATTTGAAAATGCCACCTCAACAGGCAACCGAAATAATGCGAAATTTGGATGACTACTTGACATTTTGGTGGAATGGAAGGGAAAAATTGAACGGTTTCATGATCTTCACAAACGAAGTG